CGATTATTTACAATCCTGATGGCTGGTCGATCTGAGTCAAGAACTTTCATATACAAAAATTCAATCGACTGACTTCTAATTTCGCTTACTCTTCTGGCATGATCTCAGCTCCTTCAAATGAGGACAGCGGAAACTTCTGATATCGGAATTGACGATATCAATGCAAATCTCCATGTAAACAGCTCTTGAACACAGAAGGTTTAGCTCGTTTTCGGTCACATCTTGGGCTGTCACAAAAAGTTTAACGCCAGGGGCTGGGACAATGTACTTCTTTCCTGCACATGCCGTGACAAGCTCTTTCATTGTGAAAGTAGGCGTTGTGATGCCGCAGGCTAGAAACGAAGTTAATCAGAACTTTTCTATGTTTATGTGCTTTCAAACACCAATAAGTTAAAATGGCGTCAAACTGCACCCGAAACTGTACATACTGCTCACTTACAAAGAATCGCCTTACATAAGAATAAGAAGCACAATATGGGCTTTTACTAAAAATTGGGTTGTCCATGTCCTTTCTTTTGCTTAGATACGTGAACTAAAATGATCATCTCGTATGACTAACCGTAATCGAGAGTGATGACACAGTTATTGCACCAAGGCCTGTATTTCTGAGGAATGTTTGGATTTAACATTGGATTGCCAGAGATTTGTACTATTTGGTGCCCTTTAGGATAAACCACTGTTGTTGGGATCACAAATTCTTGGAAGAATGGATTGTCCATGATTGTAATCGCTGGTCGATCTAAAGGTTCTTGTGTTTGAATATGATCCAGAAAAAATCAGATATCTTCTGTAAAGGAATATGAACCTGGAAGGCAAGGTTTCAGCTCTTTTAGATGTGGACAACGTAATCTTTTGTAGCGCGAATCAGTAATGAGAATGCAGATTTCCATATAAACGGCCTTTGAACACATCAAATTCATTTCCTCCTCTGTGACATATTGGGAGCTGATTGTCAGGTAAAATCCAGTAGCAGGGCGAATCACAGTTTTTCCTGCGCAAGCAATTGCAAGCTGTTTGTCTGTATATTCTCTTGTTGTGAGGCCACAAGCTAAACGGTTTCATCATACTGCTATTTCTAATAGAGCGAAGTCTCAATTAGATCACCTGAAGCTTCCTCGACTTTACATTTCGGACATCTTTTCTTCATTTTTCGCAGCCAGGCGATTGGTAACATAGGATTTCCTTCAATTTCGACTAGGAACGCATCCCTTGGAAAGACTACGCTAATAGGGAAGTCAACTACAGCGAGATCCATGTTGTTGATGATAGTGAACACGGGTTTTCCTAAAATGCTTGATTAACAAAAGCAATTATAAGCCGTTTGAGTTATGAACAATTGTTCGTTAATTATGCTAAATTTTTCTCACAATAACTTAAGAGGTGCATCTTAGGTTATCACCAACTGGAGTCTTTTGACAAACACTTCAATTGAGCAATCACACTTAAAATTTGCATGTTGTACCTCTTTATGATCAAAAGATATTATTAGTTTTGCAGTAGTTTTCGGTTTTGAGCAGGATTTTAAGGTAGAATTTCAACGTTTAAAATCGTT